ATAAATTTAAGCCTATAAAAAAATATATAAGAATATTGTTAACATATAATACCATTTATGGCAATTAAATATAAACCATACTGATTTTAAACAAATAAACTTTAATTATGGTAAACATAATATTAATATATACAACATAATGCACACGGCACTCAGAATACAGTGAACTGATACATAATACAAACTTAAATTATATGCTTTGGTTTAATTCATTCATCCTTGCTTGTTAATTATTGTGGCAGCTTCACGATCTGATTGTGGTAAGTCTTTGTCATCCCAACCCCACGATGATTGAGTATCTCCGTGACCATTTATGCCAGTACGTTCCACACGTTTACGTACAGTATCAACTGACACAGTCTTCAGGTCATATGCCCATCCAATTTTAGCAAAGAAATCAATGAAYGCAGTTGTCATATTGAGTTTGTAATCACCTAATTCTGCCGCCTTGTAATCCCACGGAAATACATGGTGGTAGTTATGCCAACCCTCTCCCAAAGCTAATAAAGCTACAGTTATGTTTTCAGAAGGATTTATGAACCTAAAATAAATTTAAAAAAAAAAAGTTAAATGTTATGGCATCATTTGTTAAATAAAAATAACTTCAAACATTACCTGTCATATGGTCTTCCACCCCACATATGTGCAGCACTATTTACTAACCATGTGACATTAAGAGAGAAAGTGTATCGAAACATAGTGGCAACAAACCAAGAATTTACCCAACTTTCACCCCAACAATACACCGGTAGTATTGTAGGTAATATGAAACACAATAATGGCATTAGGAACTTGTAATACCTGTAATTTATAAWTTATAATTATTTATTTATTTTCAACAATACAGGMACCTGCCTTTGGTTAGAGATAACATTAAAACTTAAAAGTATAAATAATAAATAAATATACATTAATTCAATAGTAACATAAAAATAAGTAATATAAATACAACAGATTAATAATAATTATATGCAATTCATTCAAAAGTATGGATACTTATTGACAATCCATACAGAAATAAATTTTAAAAAGTTAATACGAGAGTAGAATGGGATTTTTAAGTTGAAACCGTTTAAAAGGCCAATATCATCTTTAAATAGCTTACAAAGAAATATTAAAATTAGTTTCAACCCTTCTGTCAGCAAAARAGGACAAGTCAAGGGACTGGAGTACTGCGGAGTAGTTATGAGGCAAATGCTCAAACTTGGGTACAAAAGCAGCAAAATTTAAGAACACTAATGAATTGTTAAATTAAATCATTAAACTACATAACGATTAAATAACATTTAAATTTTAATACAAATTTACTTTTTTTGGAAGGAAACGATTGGATCAGCTAGTAAATCGGACATATCAATACCACGTCCTTTTTCCATAATGTCTGGATGTTTTCGACATAACAACCAACCAACGTGTGAAAAAAAAAATCCTCTGTTGGCATTATGCGGGTCTGCATTTGTTTCACTGTACTTGTGGTGTAGTCTATGGTCACGAGCCCATTCATACACATGGTTCTAAAACATAAAAATATTGTTAAAATCCAACAAAAAAAAGTCGCCATAATATGCATAATTTAATAAAATATTTGTGAACAACTAAAAACTACAGATAGTATATTTAATATATTATATATAACAAAAATATAATATTCTAAAATGAAAAACTGACATAAAGCAAAATAATAAGTAGATATAGTAAAATGTTAATATTGAGATTAACTATATTGTACAAGTATATTTTAAATAATCTAACTACATTTAAAAAAATATATGTATTAAAATAAAAAAGACAATAATATTTATCTGAATTATAATGGTTAAGTAAGTAGTATTTATAATTAAAATTTTGTTTTTAAGTACTTTGCAAAAGATTTTAACTAATTTTTCAGATTTCCAATTTAAAAGTTTAAAATGAATTTGTATATATGTATATTATTGCATGTAAAATATTTCATTGCGATTAATAAAAATTTATACAAACATTGAGGATTATTTAATCCTTATTATTTTCTGCCAAAAATATTTATTTGACAAAAGATGTTAACCAACAACTAAATTAAGCACAATTTAAATTTACATCAATACTTTAACTATGATAGAAGCAATCAGTTTCCAATTAAAAAATTAATATTTTAAAAAGCAATATATATATACATGAAAGATGTATCATTAAATAAGTACATTATGGTAGTAACCATTATGATTGATGAGTTTATTAATTTGTGTATAGGAACTATTACTAAAGGTAATAAATTAAATGCATTAAGTATAATACACGTTTTATACGTGAGTAATTTAGAAGTTCAACTATTGGCTCTAATTCACTCATATATAACTAAAAATGCTTAAGAGGACATACTTATTTTTAAATATTCCATATTCTGTGCCTAATTTGTTAAAGATGAGCACTTTCACCAACATAAAATACAGTCTAGAATAAATGAATTAAAAGATGAAAAAGAATTGTTTTATTTATAATTTAGAGTAAATGGATTGAAGATAAGCAATACAGTATCATAAATTTAAATGTTATAATATATAGCTTATAAATAAGATAATTTAATAATGAACTTTAAAGGATTTTAAACAAAATAATAGATTCATTGTTTAACACACTACACTACAGAGTGTAAAAGAAAGACCTGAAAAATGAAATAAATTTTGTTCTAAACAATTATTTATTTATTTTTATTTTTTAAAATCTCATTATTTTTGTTTAAGTTGATCCAGTCGTTAAAAACATATATATTTTTTTTTAACATTTAACAGAAAATATACTATCTGTAAACATAATTGCAATAAGCACATGAGAGAAATAGATATATTGGCAGTGAATGCTTGAGGGGAGTTACCCAACAGTAACACTTGACGAGATAATAARATTTGTTAGACTATTTTACATATAAAATACATTAACTCATTAGGGCGGAGTTTTTTTAATTACTATTCTAARAAAAATGAGAAAAATATTTAAAATTAGCTTTTAAAAAAAGATCTACCTATGTGTCATATAGAAATGCACGACATTAATGGGTTGTGTATTTTATTTTAATTATTTTAAGAAATACACAATTTAATATATTTAGCATAATAAATTAATAAGTATATGTAAGATGAGAGAAAAATTTTTTTGTTTATTTATAAATGGTAGCTTATTATTATTATAACATTACATCCCTGAATTATTTTTAACTGTGCACTTCATATCAGTAAACAATCCTAGCTCTTAAATTATGCCTCCCAAAAAAAGATCAATCAGTAGTTGAACGCCTCAAGCACGAAAGAAAATGGCAAAACGAGCTTCAGAAACAATCGAACAAAAAGATTATGAATGATAGTTAGGCCTGTCGCTTTTTAGTTTTGGTCTATCTTCTGTCCATAGGTCTAATATATCTCTTTACCAAATTTTGTCAAAAACGGTCAAGCAGTTTAGGACAAACTGATCTATATATATATATATTTATTTATTATTATTTTACAGATTACATGAACTAATTCCAAAATTAATTTAACTATACTTAAAAAAAAAAAAAAACATAAGTACAAATAAAAACAAATCAAAACAATTTTTTACAATAATATTTATCTTGCTATATCTATAAAAGTGTATTTCTATCAGTTTATCCTTTACGTATTTCAATTCCAATTGGTAAACCGATTACGACAAAAATTAAATGGTATAGAGATTTACTAGACCTAATGGCAGAATATATGCTAAGTTAAAAAGTAATAGGCCCAAATATCATTCAATTGTATTATTTGAATTGTCAGATTTTTCTCGATAAAACGAATAAATTTATGTGATGATAAATGAATATCATTGTAAGATTATTACTTCGTAAATTTTAACCATTATCTATTAAATAGATATATATCTATATAAATAGATTCTATTTATATATATATATATTTCTAGCGTAATCATAGGATACAAATTTAACACACAGWTAGAGACATATAAGAGSTAGGATTTTTAATGGGCTACGAAGCAGTGGCGTGCAGAACATTTTTCAGATTTGAGGCAAACTATACACTTTGACATCCACCCTACAACCATCAGGKTTTTCACTTAATAAAAAATCGTATACATTTATATGATATTTAAAATGTATGATCAAACTAGTGCCATCCACCCACCCACCCGTATTTTCCCTGAGGCAGTTGCCTCAAAATATAGCTGTTCAGCACGCCACTGCTACGAAGTGTAAAACACTCATTATTTCTAAAAACTATTTACTTTTTTCAAAATTTTAGATCCATTCCGTTCTAGAACTTTATAATTTTTTTATATTTTCACCCTTATATTTATTAGGTAAATCATTATCAACTTTTGATTTTCAAATGATGACCTATACTTAAAATTTCATAAACTAATAAGACTATTTTTTTAAATGAATTTTCACGTTTAAATTTTCATTCTTTGCTAATCCGTTAATGAGATATAGCTTCCCAAAGTTGGATGGTTTTGGTGGGTGGTGTTTGTATGTAAATACCACCTAATACAAACACCACCCAAAACCATCCAACTTTGGGAGGCTTAGGARGCTACATCTCGTCAACGGATTAACGAAATATGAAAATTTAAACGTGAAAATTCATTAAAAAAAATAGTCTTATTAGTTTATGAAATTTTAAGTATAGGTAGGTAAATCAAAAGTTGATAGAGGTTTACCTAATAAATATAAGGGTGAAATACATTCCTCGCTCTACTCAGAATCTAAAATATTAAAAAATTATATAGTTCTAGAACAGCATGGAACTAAAATTTTGAAAAAAGTAAATAGTTTTTAGAAATAATGAGTGATTTACACCACATGAGCACTCTATATAAACAACATATAGGTAGATATTATACTTAACAGCATTTTTTTTAAACTAATGCATTAAATAAAAATTTTATTTCTATTTTATTTTTATTAGTTTACAATATTTTTTTTTTAATTCATAGGTAGAATTATTCTACCAATTAAAATATCCAGCTTGTTACTCAAGAGAAAAACTAAATGTATAAATTCAGACTTCAAATGAGTGTGAAGAAAACAAATTAAACATAACTTATTTTTTTTTTTCAATACCTTTTTAGAATAATTAATGGTTAATAAATAATAATAAAAAAAAAATACCTGAAAGGCTATTGTATTGAATATAATTAATATCACACGCAGTGGCCATTTGGCTTTATATGCCCGATGAGACCAAAGTCTATGAGCTCCAGCTGTAATGCCGATTGAAGATACTTGGTACATCAATATTGCTAAATGAAAAAAATGTATATTTAACTATTATGTTAGAAATATAAAATATATAGGTTATTGAACATACCAAAAATAGTTGTGGCAATTTTAGCGGAGGTAAACATTAGTAACACACCATACAATGCAGCCAAATGAAGGTAACCAAACAACATGACATTTCGCCATACAATTGCTTGATGATGTTGTTTTCTATTTTGTTGGGTAAGAAGTGTTGTCCCATTGTGGGTTATTCCTTTGGATTCGTCCATAACTTGATTTTATTAACTGTAAAAATATGACATTAGAGTAAAAATAAAATGAAACATATSATGYATTTCATGTATTTCATCAGGGCCAAACTTCAAGTGTTTTGGTCCACTATTCTTTGTAAGCAACTGGTCCACTTTCYTAAATTTAACAGCCCAACTTAAACTAACAAAATACTACATTTTCTTCAAAAGTATTTTTACCTTCACCCAAATTTTATAAGGATAAACTTAAGGAACTTATTCTATGTTGATTACAAAGAAAATGTAAAATATATCAATACATAGGAATAAACTAATATCACTAAGTAGCGGTATGACCATGAAGAATAAAGATATCTTTATTCTTCATGGGTATGACAAATCAAATCTTATATTTAAATTATACAGTGTCCCGCGAGGATTTACCCATTGCGATATCTCTCGAAATAACGGAGATATCAAAATTCTGATTTTAAGGGATTAGAACTATAATTATTTCATATTTGAATGTTTCAGTAAAAAAGTAAAAATATATTTTTTTKTTTAATTATTTCTGAAAAAATTGAAGATAYCGTAATTTATTTTTCTCAAAAGGTGGACGTTACAAATTTAATTTTTATTAATTTCCTGATTTTTAATATTTTTTATAGTTTCGAAAAAAATTGTGAATTGTTTAAATATGATTATTGCTAAGCACACTGAAAGCGTTTGCCAGCCGTACGAGAATGTTAGATAACACTACGGCATTAAATAACTCGCCTCGCAATTTTTCTTGAAACTGAAAGAAAAACTATTAAAAATCAGCAAATTAATGAAAATAAAATGTTGAAACATCAATGTTTTCAGAAAAATAAACTCTATAAAATCGCTACCTTCTTTTTTTTGTTGGAAATCATTAAATAATAAAATATATTTTTTAACTTTTTTATCAAAACATTAAAATAAATTTAAAAATGAAATAATTRTAGTAATTATCTCTGCGATTTACACATATTTTTTTACATAACCATAGCCCGCGGCCTACTTTGCTGTAGAATAGTAGCACAGTGGGCCAGTATGGTGCTTTATTTCATACGAAAAGAAAATCAAACTGAATAATCTAAGCTTAATACCTAATATTTTATTAATTTTTAAATCAACTTGCATATCTATAAATTGTATTTCTTTTACTTAAKTTAGAGAATTTACAAGTATTTGCGATTAAAATACAATCACAAAAAAGCTGGTAAGTTTTTTTATAAAGTAATCAAATTAAAATTAAATAGGTAAGCATCTAAAATATTTTTTCTAATTAATTCAAATACCTAGTGGCTAGAATAMTGAATTATATATTTCTTAGTAWACAAAAACAATGTTTAATAGTATAACAATAACTATCTCAATAATCAATAGTCAATATTTAATATATTACTTTATTTTAAACATCCTGAATTCCTGAACCATGCAATGAGTATTATAATATGTTAGATTTATAAATATTTATTTTACTTAAGTAAGTTAATAATTATTACTATTATTAATAAATTTCTAAAAAAAAATGTTAAATAATACTAAACAATCTAGGTTTAGTACCTAGAATTTTATTAAATTTTAAATCAATTTGCATAACTATGTAATTTATATTTCTTTTACTTAATTTAAAGAATTTACAAGTATTCAGGATTAAAGTACAACAAAAAAAGCTGGTAAGGTTTTCTTTTAATTAATTCAAATACCTAGTGGCTAGAATATTAAATTATAAATTTGATAGGTAGTATACAAAAACAAAGTTTAATAGTTATTAACAATTAGTATCTCAATAGTCAGTGTTTAATATATTATTTTATTTCAAACATTCTGAACTCCTGGACCATRCAATATGTCAATATGACGAACTATATATAAGATTTAAAGACTTTTATTTTAGTGCGGMAAGTTATTAATTATAACTAGTTAATAAATTTCTGAATAAAATGCCTTTTGGTTAAGTATTATTTTATTTAATAAAATTATACTTTCATAAAATATTAATTTTAAATAAAACATGATTTATCACTCCTTAGAAATTATAATATTCAGAGATTTTTAATAGGTTGTAGATAAAACTAAATTAAGTAGTTATTACAATTATGTGATATTATGATGGCATACTGATACCTATATTAGAGAAATCATACACCATACCTATTAACATATTAAATTTTATATTGTACTAATACACAACCATGAATTAATGGTCTTATTTAACTACGTAATAAACATGAATTTAATATAAAATACTAAAATTGAACAACCTTATGATTATTAACTGATTTATCATAATATGTATGATTTCCTTTGGCATCTTTTTCACAATATAAAATTATGAGAATAATTATAATTCATCGAATTAAAAAACCAAACAAATAATCACAAAAAATATAAGCAAATATGAGCGATAACGATAAGTATTATAAGTATAATGAGTATACATAAGTACCTATAATGTGAAGTACCGTTATWAGAATAATCAACTTGTTTTGAGCAACAACAGAACAACAAGAACAGTGAACACAAAATATGTGGAATACAAATTTTGATGGCTATATAATTTAGGTAGTTACACAGAAGTATGAGTGGTAACTACAAGCRTAACTTAGAGGTGAGCTAAAAGCTCTCTCCAATAATTATTAGGAGCCCACTCAAATTTGTTAGAATAAATGAATATTATGRTCTATAGATAATATCGTTAACTTCATTTTTGCTGAACAATTTAAAAAATATCTTCTATGTTTAATATAAACTAATACAAATAATATTCAATATTTGTGTTATCACTGTATGTAGGTGACTGACAACTGCCCCCATACGTTATTTTATTCTAAAAAAATGGAATAGGGAGTCTAGCCCCCCTAGATCAAAACTCTTAAGTCTAAAGTCACGCCAACGGATGTCTTAAGTGTATATCATTATTATCACGGGTTGTCAGTTGTGTCACTTGCGCGGGGAAGATGCGGGTGACAAAGTGGTGTATTTATGACCAACTTTATGAGTGACGACGTGAACGATTTCCCCACCCCTTTTTTATATTATTTTTTTTTCGATTTTGTCTTATCATTATAGTAATAGTTTATCTTCGCGAATTATATGAATACAATCATAGAACGATTAAGGACGGTTCTTAAAAATGTCCATTAACGGTAAACCGACGGTTGGGGGGGAATTTTACCGGCAAAATTTTGCCCGTTAATTTTAACCGGCTTAAAAGTRCCAGGGGGGAACTACTGCAGACTGGTTCGAGTGGTTCGTCAGAAACGCCTAATTTTCCCGAAGGAAGTCGTAACTCGTAAGTGCGCCTCCGTGTATGCCGTAGGGTGGTGAGTGGTGACCAGTGAGTTATAGTTATCGGCGTACCAACTGTAAATTTATTGTCCAGTGTTAACACCGATCGCTTTAAAATCTAAATATAATATTGGCGCGAATGCAAATGGACAGGATAGTTGATTCGGTCGAATAGTGCACGGAGTACAAGAACGAATGAAACCGTCGGGAAATGTGGATTGGATAACCTTTCGCACCAAAAGAATTCTGCGCGGCATTAGGATTTGCAGTTGTGAGACAAGGAAGAGGATGGAGGAAATTAATGGGATTATGCGCAAGTTAAACAGCTACCAAAACATCGTTTTTTTCCCGGTCAATAGCGACTAACCAGCCACGACGCCGTTTCGACGAACACGTGCCCAAGGTCGCAGCACGAGAGCCGCACAAGCGGTGGCAGAACACTTGTTGTAGGCCTTACGGCGGCGGGCGGCTACAACAGTTCTGCGTGTCACGTGTGCGGTCGGACGGCCGGGCGCGCGCACGCGCTCATTCGCTAGAAGCTCGCTCGCTCACCGGTCGGCCGACAACGGGGGATACGCTTGCCCGAGAATACGAAATAAATAAACGCATCCGTACGTACCTGTAACGACGTACAACCMCTATGACTGGACGACCACGTTCATTACACGATGACGGAATTTTCCTTAGTGACGGAGTGCGCTCGACTGGGCACCACCGGGCTGGACGTCCCGAAGTCTAACGGGCCGGACGGCGAATAGAACGTTCACGCCTATTCGCGGWACCGACGTGCGCCTAATTTAAGTATTTTACCGATGAAACGACAACTGTCGCGATGACCAAATCAGAAAATAATGTCACGCTCACGACAAAACGCGAAAAAACGATTTGGCGGCGGCGACGTCGCGGACACAAATGGGGGCGCTGCCGGCGGAAGAGGCAACTGAGCAAGAAAAGCCGTACACATACTGCTAATACAGCGATATCGTACCGAGTCGCGGCGGCGGCGTCGGATCCCTCCGTGCGATACGGATTTTAATCATTCGGCCGGGAGAACCGATACAGTTTTCGCCGCTTGTGCTGCCGCCGGTAGCGGCCGAACGAATTATTTGCGCCACCCGTCACCGGGTGGCTGGTGGTGTTCCTTGCATGTAATCACCATTCGGCATTCACTAATCATGTGATATTGTGGTGTGCCTACTGTAGTACTATTGTTCGGTGGGTGCGCCCGCGCCGTCGTGATGGTTGTGAGCTGTGACTCATCTGCCAATCGAAAATAATGATTTAGGTTGGCGATTTTTGTTTTTAGTGACAACACTGCGTTCGATCGGTTGCAAAACAGCAATTTTGTGCTATTTTACGTGCTYCGTGTCTCTGTGTATCTGTCATCATAGAATCCAGTTTGGACGCGTCGGCGCGAAGACCGGCGTTGACGTACGCACTTAGATCATGGCTGAGGCTTAATTTACGGCTCCACACATTTTTATTACGCGATGTATTATTAAATTCAGATTTTCGACTCTGTTGTTCCCAACTAGACGATCGATTATATCATAATATTATGCATTTTGTTCATCATAATTTAAAAATAATGCTTACAGTAAGTGTGTGTGTGTGTGTATGATGTGAAAAAGGGATGAGGAGAGGCACGGAACAAACCATTTTGTGATTTTACCGGAACCACGTGAATTTCGTTACTMCTCTTCAGTCATTCTGGAGCGATTTGTCGCGCACACAATAAATTATGTCTTACGCAATTATGCATCTTTAATCCGAGATACAATAATGTCGTAAACGATTATGCTGCAAATTTACAATAATATGATTGAATAAATGATATTAACGCTATAACGTATACAATAATATAGCTATTAGGTTCGATGGGCGGATGGCGTGACGCGATACCATAATAATGAATAGGCGTACGAGCAAACGTAGACACTAGACACACATTTTGTTAGTTTGTTACTAAATATTGGCGTATTGTTTACCTTACCGTCATTACGTTCTATACTTTTATTATGAGTGCGTCAAAGCGTAATGGTAAATAACGATAAGGGAAATTTATATTTTCCGTTCCGTAAAAATGTATTATTGATACGCAAGTAGTGCCGCGTATTGGTTATTATTTCAATTTATCCACTAATAGTATTTACCTCAGTATTTATATAATATAATTAGGGTGGAGGACTAKTAGCCATACAAAGTCCCCAAATATACATTTATTTGAAAAATAAAAAATACATCTAAAACACGCATTTTAAAAATAAATCATGAATAGGTTATATTTATTTATATATTGTTCAACTAAACTTGCCTATTATTTTGAAATAGATTTATTAGTTCTACGTTTTACAGCTCTACGTATTTAATATAATTTATAAAATTATTATTTTCTAGGAAAAAACGTGCGTAAAAGCTAGTTAAAAGACTTACTATACCAAAAAATTAAAAATAAATTTATATTTCGGTTGTATTATTTAAAATAAKAATGTGTTTCATAAAGTATAAAAAAATTAATTGCCCTAAAAACTAAAAATATGCATTTATACGCAAAATAAAATTGTATAAGTATTCAGATTTATCGTTCTTCCGTAATGACCAAATGAACGGTTACGTTCGTCATAAATTCCTAAAAAAAAATTATATTCTATAGGTTCCTTATATTCCTATAGAATGCTGGTGATGCCTGTGTTCTACAATGTAAATAAAAATTAATATAAATATAACAGTGATACTTATAGCTAAGTTATCTGTATGTATAGTGTGTACCTAACGATAAGCGATATATTTTTTTATCCGTTACCTATCATCTGTACTCACGTTTACACTATTATTGTAMTACCCAAAGTCTTAAAACGTATTTATATTTTAACGTACAGTATAGTTCATTTTCTTTGACAAAGTTACAGCTATTATTATAATTTATAGTACGAAATGAGTAGACGTATCACGTATTAGCAGTGAGCACGTATATATAAAATATAAATCAATAATAACGCAGTCATCATAAAATAACCAATCGAGAATATATTTATCATCGACACGCTACAGCAGCTGATAGCCCGATGCACTTAATCGACTGATCATAGTAGTTTACTGACGCTTTTTTTTCTAGGTCTATCTAGTATCTACTCAATAATTATAAGTCGATATAGTTCACCTTCACATAGACTACTCGTAATTTTGATTGTATTCAATATTGTAGGTAGCATATATAAACGGCATGCGACACTATACAATTGTCAATATTAGTTAATTTTATTTAATTTAATTTAATTTAATATTATTTAATTTTAATCAATTTTACTTAATATAGTTAATTAGTCACCTATAAAATGTGTTAATTATATACCTAAATAAAATATATTATTCTTTTTCAACGCGATAACAGACAAAACGAGGAAATATAAATTACCCTTTCGCACTTGGGCGATTGGCAATATTTTTAATTTTTTATACAAATATTAAGTTACGTCTAAATTGTAATAATAACTCACACAAACATTTTCAAAATAGTGATAAAAGCGATGAATAGGGAACGGACTTATTAATGCTATAAAAAATAAAAATAAATGTTCTAAAAAATACGACTTGATGCTTAAAAACCACATTATTATGAAAAAWWWATTTGATAAAAAAAATTTGAATTCAATACACATAACTTGTATTGGTATGTATGTATCCCAGTATGTATATAATTTATATATACGTGTCAACAATAATTTCGTCTAGAGTCCGGGTTTATCTGATCGGTAAAAACATAATAAATATTTATTTTATTTTTTAAATTGAATGTTAATCTACTTAAAAAAAAAAATTATCCATTCCTATATAAAAATGGCTTAAAAACATAAAAATTCACTAAAAATGTCAAAAATGCAAAATAAAAGTTACATTTTTTAATTCCTTGATGTATGGAATGAACTTTGTGCTTGTAAAGCTATATATTTTCGGACATTCAGAAAGAAAAATGCAATTTTCATGTAAATCTGTTMCCTAGTGATGAATAATGAAAACAAAGTGTATTTGTAGTACTTGGATATTTCATAGTGAATGAAAACTATTATTTAAAACATTTTTATTCGCCTCAACCAATAAACCCACGTACACTTATATATTTTAAATGTTTTATATCAATTAGCAAATATTGAGTTATGTTAAATTTGTATTGACTGTTTACGTACATCATACACATAAACACAACAAACGACAATGCAACATTAAATACATTATTAGGTCAACTGGATACAGTTAAAGGTTAAACTGTTATTTTTGAGTATGAAAATTTGATAGTTATATTGAAAAATTTAACTTTAGTATAAAATTCTTCCCTGATATTTAATATTATAAACTATGATACAAATTACACRGTAACAAGGTTTTTTTAAGTTTAACTGTACTTGTTAATGTATAGAAAAGTTATATTAAATTGTTATGACTTTTAAAGAATAATTCTAAGAAAACATMAGGAAATATAACATTATTTTTAACGATTTAAAGATTATAAGTTTGTATTTACTTTGAAATATTGAAAAAAAATACTTTAAATATTTCTCATAATGGTAACTTATAACACGCATATATCGCATATTATACATAATTACGCGTATTGTAGATTTATACCTTATACTCAGTATAATGACTTATTTTATTACATAGACATATAATATAAGTTATGATTATTATAATTTGTAAAGCTATATTGCTATATAATAGGTATTAGGTTTACAATATTAAGCTAGTATGTATAATATGTTAAATTATTTAAAAAATATAATCTATATTATATTCATATACCTCAATCAAATGATTAAAATTAAAAAAAAATATAGAATTGACAAAAAAATGGAGATAATATAATGTAGTTATTATATTATAATATGATTATTAATATGAGTACGTATTAATATTTTTATATATGAATAAATAATGCTGATAATATCAGCTGATATTCTCCAAGATAATATCAAAAATGTGACGGATTTTATTAATCTTCTGGGGGGGATATAGGGTAAACATATTTTCAGTCCAGAATTCTATCTCTTATAGGTTATACTTACATGTAACATGAGTAAATAAACCACAAACTTAAAAAAGCGGGTAAGTCGTGTATGTCGCTCTG